ACTGTTGCATTATCTTAACCAATTTTTTTTGGGGGGTGCTGGTTTTGGGGCTTGAACTCCAGGCCTCAGTACTGTTCCTGAGCTTCTTTTGCTCAAGGCTAGCACTCTACCACCTGAGCCACAGCTCTCCTTCAAGCTTTTTGGTGGTTAACTGGAGATAAGAGTCTCATGGACTTTTCTCCTAGGGCTGGGTTCAAGCAGCAATCCTCAGAACTCAGCCTCCTAAGTAGCTAGGATTATAGGCATGAGCCACATGCCCGGCTTAACCAACTTTTAAAGGGACTCGCTATGGTATTGTATCTCACACATCCCAACTGCATATATGAACTAAATATAATCCAAGGCTCCATACTGGTTCTTAAGTTTCATAGTAAAATGTCCAGACACAGACCCTTCAAACAGTATTCACAGTACTGGTAGTGACAGAAATTGTTAGCAAGGATTATTTTTGTTTGAAAATTTAGGATTACAGAAAATGCTAAAGCAATGATCGCCTTAGAAAGGTTGGGGGAGTGGCTCAAGTAGTAGAGTGCTTGCCTAGCGTGCACAGGCCCTGAGTTCAACGGGCCACCAAACAAAGGGAAAGGAATCTCATCAGACACTTAGAACTTAATAGATATGAGGTGACAGGTTTTCTAACACAAGTATGACATTGATCTGTGACTGTCCATTGTCCAGATCAACATGCTATTCAGTTTTCTCCTACTTCTGTAATTGCTTGTTATATGAATGACACATATACATTTCCAGTATCTAATCTCGTTCCTGTCTCTTCTTTTCTTTTTATGCTTTTTTTTTCAAGACAGGGTTTTGGCCTTGAACCCCAAATCTTCCTGTCTCAGCTTCTCAAGTACTGGGATAACAGGTGTGCACCACTACATCCAGCTTTCTTTCTAATTCTTGTAACAGTTTCTAGTTTCTGTCTTAAGTTTATGTAATTTAGTTTTTAAAAACCTATTTTTAATGTCCAACTAAGAAACACCAAACATCAAAACAGTTCTGTCTTTAACAGGCAAAATGGTTGCTTTGGCAATGTATAAAACGATAACTATTATAGTATAAATCATTTTAATCTACTTTTATTAAATATTCAAATGCAATAAGGCAATTATTACTTTAAGAAGTTTAAACTGAGTTTAATAAATGGATAACTGGCCCCACACCTGATGTATTATACCCCTGCTTTTCTTCTCTACTCTATGAAACCAACATCATTTTGAAGAAGTGGTCTCTCTGAAATCATCTCAAAGAGGTTCTGATCGCAACTACAGTATTACTTTCAATATAAGCATCCAAAAACAACAACAACAAAACCCCAAATGAACAGTACCTTCTGTGGCTTTCCTTTCCTGTGTCTACCATCAACTTTTGTATCCAGTCTTGACAGCACAGCCCAAAGCATCCCTACTAAGAGCAAGCACACACCATCTACTGTGCTGTCTGCCACTGGAGGGGGCAGTGATTCCCAAACCCCACTTCCTGTCAGGACCATTTGGGAAACAGAGTCGCAGGCTCCCCCTCAGACCTAATGAAGTAATCTTCTTCCCAGGAAGATGTGGTTAGTCTTACTTACACATTTGGAGTGACTAAAGGACAATGTTACCACAAAGTAGGATTCAAAAAAAAAGACAAAATGTGGGGTGGTTGTTGTCCTAAATGATCAGTGAGTAGGGTGACTGGAAACATGCCTAGTCTAGTAGTGGTGGACCCAGCAAAGCCAGCTCTGTTACCCACTGCTTTCTGACGCTGAGCAGTGGGCAGGCAGACGTCGGCCTAAAGAAGGCACACACCACTTCTCCATCTCTGCTTCTCCATTTTCTCACCTTCTTTTCATCTTTCCTCTTACTCTCACTTCTGCCGTCCTCCCACTGTCCTCTCTCCTCTCCTCATCTTACTTCCTCTCTTTTCCTTCTTGAGTTATTATTCATGTACACCATTCTTTTCTTCTCTACTTTCTCTTCCTTGGAAACTCTCCCTTACCTAACAGAAGCAAATTCATCCTGGAGCTCTACGTCAGGAAGCATTCAGCCAGAGGACACTGACCACCAAGGCAAATGAGAACCTCAGCAGCAGCGCGGCTGTGGCAGGACGAACCTCACGGAGGATTTTCCAGTCCCTTTCCTCTGCTGAGTCAAATCTTCTGATGGGGTTTGAAGGGCACCAACTGTGCTTAAAAACCTAAGGCACGGAGAAGGTTACGTGACATGCCTGAGGTCTCTAACCAAGAGAGGAATCCAGATCTGGTTCACAATCTGGTCTTCCTGTGGCCACACCCATACCTGACCAAAGGCAAAATGAAGAGGCCAGGAGTGGGCGAGTGTTGTTCCAGGCTCGAGGGTGTCCAGAGATAACTTAATGACCACGTAGTTACCATATATATATGAAATACTCTTCATAAAATTATATATTTTCTTAAAATATAAATCGAGATTCTCCCAATTCTTTTAAGATGACTACTTCATACAAATAAAGTTTGACTACATTTTAAAATCTTTCCACTTTGGCAATACTATAGCCCAGAGATAGTTCCGAGGTCAGAATTGTTCTAACACACAAAGAATATAATTTATATAAAATGCATAGGCACGCTATGTTCTATGAAAGACTACTTACACTGAAAAAGCATGCAATATATTGTTATTTAACCTTAACTCTGGAAATTGCATTTCTTAAGACTTCACAAGGAAATTACCTTGTCTAAAGATAAAATTCAGAAAATTCACTATTAAGAAACACTCTGTTGATAACATTAATCTTATGTAAAACAGTAGACAGCCTTTACCATAACCTGATTTATGATAAAATGATCAATTAGCTCGAGTCTGAAGAGACCAGAGGGGTCTTTTGGCTCATCTACAATGTACATGGTGGGACAGTATGAACTGACCTACAATACAAAGGAGACTGCAGCATTTAGCCCTGTGACTACAGCATGGACACTACCATCAATGCAATCACATCAGAGCAGAGTCTCATCACTGACTGAGAAAATTAAATCTTTGGGGGCTGGGAAGGTGGCTCCGTGGTAGAGCGCTTGCCTTGCATGCATGAGGCCCTGGGTGCGATTCCTCAGCACCACATAAACAAGAAGAAAAACGCTGGAAGTGGCGCTGTGGCTCAAGTGGTAGAGCGCTAGCCTTGAGCTGAAGAGCTGAGGGGCAGCGCCCAGGCCCAGAGCTCAGGCCCCACAACCGGACCAAAAAAAAAAAAACCTAAAAAAAAAATTAAATCTTTGGGATCTTGTGGTCATAAATTTGTAACTTGTCACTAACACCAATTGGCTCCTCTAATTTCAACAAATGTGGCATCCTAACTTCAATGTGAAATTTGGTTAAAAAAAAATAATCCATGATTCCCAAACCAGTTGATATCAAAATTATCTAAGCTTATTTAAAAAACCATAATCATCACGTGCTTACATTTGCACCCTGATTCTATAAGCCATCTATGTGATATTTGAAACAAGCAAGGAAATTTGTGTAAGGACTGGCTATCAAAAGGAGTCAACCTACTGTTGCTACTTTTGTCCTCATGAATACCAACAAAGTATTCACACCAGTGAAATAACATGTCTGAGGTTTTTTTTTTTTTTTTTTTTTTTTGTCGGTTGTGGGGCTTGAACTCTGGGCCTGTGCGCTGTCCCTCAGCTCTTCAGCTCAAGGCTAGCGCTCTACCACTTGAGCTACAGCGCCACTTCCGGTTTTCTGGTGGTTTATTGGAGATAGGAGTCTCACGGTCTCTCCTGCCCGGGCTGGCTTTGAACCGAGATCCTCAGATCTCAGCCTCCTGAGTAGCTAGGATTACAGGCGTGAGCCACCAGCGCCTGGCTGAGGTTTTAAGGTATTTCTTTAAAAAAAAAAAAAAAAGACGGGAACAAGGGAGGGAGGAGGAAGAGAAGGCAGCAAATATAGTAAGATACTGGGTATTGGTTAAATTTTATTATTTTTGCAGTATTGACATCTGAACCCAGGGCCTTAAGCATGTTAGGCAAGCACTCTACCACTGAGCTACACCCTCAATCCACTCTTACGTCATTTCATATTTCTTCCTCTTCTCATCTCTCCTTTGGACTCCTTCCTAGACAAAGTATACTGTACCTCCAAAGGGTGAAGCTCAGGCCATCTATTTTTTTAGCAAGCTATTTACAGTCTTACATAGCCAGGCAGAGGTCACTATCATTCATGGACCATTTGAATTAATACGTATGTGTGTATATGTATGTACTTAAAGTTTTTAGGCTTCTCACTTTTTGCTCACGTGACACCATAAGGATTCTCATTTTCTACTGAGCAAACTAAATTTCAACAGTTCTTATTTCACTACAACACTGTGCCAAGAGTATACAGCTCTTGATTCCTAACCTACCTGTTTTAAGAATAGTAAGCTGGTTATTAACTTCTCTTTTGGTGGGGGAAAGGGTATCAACTTCTACTTCACCTTTTTAAAGCTTCTCTCAGTCTGTCTCTGGTTGAAACACAGAGGACAGTGCCATGCTCTCATCACTTCATCCTATATACTCCATGCTCACACTGGGTACTGGGTCTCACAAAGCCAGATGTTACAGTGTTCACATGACTGATATTTTACTTCATGATTTCCTCTTGTCCAGTTAAGCATTAAACAGCCAAGATGGAATAAGAAGGCAACCATGCAGAACTGGTAAGCCATGTGCCCTAGCGTACATGCTAAGTAGCAGAATGTAGAACTATCGCAGGTTAAGAATGGCAATACAGGTAATCCTTTTCTCATCTTCAAGATGTAAAAACCTTGTCTTTAGGGAAGATAGCCAGGTGCTGGTGGCTCATACCCATAAACCTAGCTACTCAGGAGGCTGAGATCTAAGGATGGTGGTTCCCATGCCAGCCTGGGCAAGAAAATCTGAGAGACTCTTATCTCCAATAAACTACTCAAAAGAGCCAGAGTGGCACTGTGACTCAAGAGGAAGAGCACTTGCCTCAAGCAAAAGAAGCTCAGGGATAGTGCCCAGGCCTAGAGTTCAAGCCCCGAGACCAACGACAACAAAAAAACACCTAAGAAGGTATGCACACTACCCTAATAAAAACAACTATAATTCTGTGTAAAAGACTTCTTGATCCAAGTATCCACTGAAGATGTCTAACTTGAAGTAAAGCTCTATATATTTGCTTCTTCAAAAAATGTCTTGTAAAGCCATTTTGAGGTAGAAGAAAAGTCTAAATGGACCTCTTTTTTCTATGCTGGCAAAATTAAACTTTCTGGTCACAGAAGTACTTAGCTATGCTTTTGGTCCATTGCATTTCCCATTCCCACTAGGGCTTCTCATTTATTATCAACACAGTATAGTTTGCTTCCAGAATGCCCAGCAAAATTTTTAAATTTTTTCACTTATAGTGATTTAGAAACAAAGTTCCAAAATATCCTAGAGCTGTGTTTTGGCAAGACAGTTTGACACATACAAAATGAAAACATTGTATTTCTCAACACACACACACACACACACACACACACACACACACACACACACACACACACACATGCCTCAAAGTGTTTACCTGTTTCTTTTCTCATACAGCTCAATTTTTTTTAATGTGCAGCTTACTTAAAATCTAAAAATAAATTTAAACACGATTGTCACAAAAATATCGTAGAAGAGAGATGAAATGTATAAGGGTACACATAGATTGTCAATGGTTACATTGGTTATATCACATTTCTTGAAAACAGAACTTTTCTGCTCCTGTAAACAACTTTTTCCCACATGTGTAAAGTGAGGTTAGTGCTGACATCATTATTGCTATACTCACAGTTTGAATGTCTCCATTGTGTATGAGGTACATTTTCTCCATCCATACACACACACCGCTCTTACTCACTCAAGAGTAGGAGCCCACACAGCTACAGGCTACAACCACTCAATGTTTTCAACACTGGAATGACAGGAAGTCATGCTACAAATATCAGAGATCAAATGTCTTCTGGTTGGAGACCCAGATTTTAACTTATTCTTCATTACATGAATAGACTGCTCTGTTAACTTCTTCAGGAAAGTAAGGTTACTCAGAAGATAAACAATCTCATGCTAAATACTTCATCCAAGAATACTCCTTCCCATTTGTCCTCTGACACTTCACTGTTTTAGCCACTGAATTTAGCAGCCACCAGAGTCACCTTTCCTCTCCAGGTCTGTCATAGCGTTCTCTTATGCTCTTCGCTAGTTGTTTGATAAACACTCTGTAAATTTTCCCACAGTATGTATGCACTGTCTTCTGTAGTTCCAGTTCTAAAGGCTCTAATAAGGAACGAACATCATCATCTTCAAAGGAACACTAGAGAAAGAAAACAAAAAGGCAAAGAAACATATAAAAATTACCTAAATGATTTCTTCAATCAGTTTAGTATTAACAATCTCCATATCTAAATATCTAAAAATAAAATGCTCAAAAAAATCACAATTTGAAGATAGCTTTGGTAGAAAAGTCTGTGAGACTCTTATCTCCAATTAACTATCATTAAAAAAAAAAAAAAACACGCCAGAAGTGGAGGTATGGCTCAAGCGGTAGAGCCCTAGCCTTAAGCAAAAAAGCTAAGTAAGCCTCAGTACCAACACACAGACAGGCCACTTCACTTGGAAGTTATGTCTGTGGAAAATGCTAAATCACAAAAGAAACTCATAATCTGAAACTAAGAGCTGCAAGGGACCCTATGGGATACTTCCTGCAGATACTTTGCAGGAAGCCAGTCTTCCAAGAGTACCAGGTGCCCGTGGCAAATGCCTAAAACCCTAGCTACTCAGGAGGCTGAGATCTGAGGATCATGGTTTAAAGCCAACCTGGGCAGTAAAGTCTGTGAGTCTTTTATCTCCAAATAACCACCAAAAGAGCTGGATGTAGAGCTGTGGCTCAAGTGATAGAGTGCTAGACTTGAACAAAAAAGCTCAGAGACACCACCGAGGCCCTGAGTTCAAGCCTGAGGACTGGTACATACACACAGACAAGCACATTGAGTCTCTTGATATGGGATGTTTTCTGAGATAAAAACAAAACCATATCTCAAGAATTAGGCCTCCAAACATCAAGATTCTCCTATCCTCACCTCCTAAATGATGAGATTACAGGCATGTGCCACCCTACTCTGGTGTGAGATCTTTCTCTTTTAAAACACTGCAAGAACAAACTTGCATGTTTTGTTGGAGGCTGTGCCTTTACCTGACTGCTCCTTTCCTTTGGGACCTGGTATTCATCAGCCTGACAGCTGGGGCAGAGGTCAACTCCTCAGACAAGCCATTCTCACACAGTTCATTGTCACATAAACCTTTTGGAAGGTCATACTTTATAACTAAGGCTGTTAGTTAAAACTGGGAGTAAGTAAATTGTAAGGCTGTGATGATCACAATTAGGCACTCAGGAATTCTCAAGCAGCTGAAGTTGTATGAAAAACACAGCAGAAGAGCAGTTCAGCATCCAGCAAAACCTGAGTGTTGAACACATACACACACACAAACACACAGAGGTACTGTGGTAGAGAATATTCAAGGCTCCTTTGCAAAGACAGCTATGCAAATATAAGCAGAGTATGAAGTAAAACAAAATAACACAGGAACACAAGGAAACATAGTAATTCAGAATGAAATACATGAAGCAGAAAATACCCTACAGAGCCATAAAATGTTGTTCTGTTTTTAATTTGTAGTTTTTAAACTTAATATTTTTATTTACTGAGCAACTAATATTTAACCAATATGTATAGACTGTAAGAACTGATTTGCTGACAAAAATCGCTATGCATTTTAAAAATAGCTTACATCCTTTGTAATTCATACCATTTATTGTATTCTCTGGTTATGACTAAGTTTCTTCTGAAAACTGAATAAATAGCCTTGTATGAATGCAATTCTTTAAAAAATTACACTTCTCATTGAATTATAGATAAGAAATAAACCAAGAGCATTATAAAAGACTGATTAAATTCATTAAGCTGAAAAATGAATAGATATAAGCTGTAGTTAATATAGACCCAAAACAAACACCAAAAATCATTAATTCAGTATTCGAAACCATTTTAAAAATAAGTTCTATTGTTTTTAAATCAAGTACAATTAATCACCTTAAAACTTACTCAGATTTTAAAAGGCATGTAATTCTAAGCCAAAACAGGGAGAAAAATCAGAAATGCTTCACTAATAACAGATATTTTAAAATGCTCAAAAAGAAACAATCTTATTTTTATAGGAACGCATTTCTTTTCTTTTTTTTTTATTTTATTTGGAATGCATTTCTTTTCTATCCTGCAGTCTCAGAACCCCAAAAGTACTTTTCTTCATTTTTATCACCTTCTGAAAACCCCTAATAAAGCAACGTTAAAATATGATATTAATTTCTGAAGGCATACAAGGCCTGTTACATTAAAATGAAAATCAACATAAATGTGTAATTCTTCAGTGAGTATAGTTATATCATGATAACCTGATTTACTTAATAACTTTATCTGTCAAGTTTATAAGACAAGAAACTTAGCAATTATTCCACAAAAATATCAGCCTACAATGCTGAGTATTTCTGGTCTACTGCTGAGTCCAGAAACCCTGATCTTGGGAGAAAACAATTCCTTCTCAAGGTGGGCCATCCCATCAACATAGTTTACCATCCACTTCCATTCCAGCCACCAAAACCTTCATCTCTCACTTGACAATGCCAGGTCTCTCTTTGGACCTTTGCCCGGCCTCGCAACCTTTCTCTCAGTCCAACTAGCTCATTCATCTAGCAAATGCTTACTCATTCTTTGGGCCCATTTCAAATAGCACCCTTCCAACAGGGCTTTCCCTAACCTGTCAAGGCAAATCTTCAAAACTCTTTTTCTAGTGAAGTCTCTCTCATAATCACTTACAGTGTCTTTATTTGTACTACTCTCAATGAGACTATACTGTATACTAGTTCCAGGTTTTCATTAGCAAAAAATGTCAACCCAGCAGAGGAGTCATCAGCTCTTCTGACCCCAAACCCTTAGGCCAAACTAACATTTCTATTGTTGTGTTTACTCTTCACATCTACTAACATTAAGCAATCTAGCTGAAGAGAACACATGTGAGGTGAGTGGCCCTATATGCTTCTCGCTGGACAGCAGTGAATTAACTGACTGCTCCCTTGGATTTGTCCTAAGTCAGGGCCAGAAACAGACAAAGCTCTGGTTCAAGTGTCCAGCTAGAGGTTTTGAGGTGTAATTATTCCCCCTATTAACTGACTGTAATCATACAAAAATTTTCTTGTAAAAACAAGAAGAGAGAGAACAGACACTAGGGTGAGGAGAGAGGAGCAGTGTAATTGTTTCTAAAATCATTACAAAGTAAATGCTTAAAAGAAAACGATTTCAGCTGGGCGCTGGTGGCTCACACCTGTAATTGTAGGTACTCAGAAGGCTGAGATCTGAGGATCATGCTTCAAAGCCAGCCCAGGCAGGAAAGTCCATGAGACCTTTATCTCCAATTAACCACCAGAAAAACCCTAAGTGGCACTGTGGCTCAAAGTGGTAGAGCACTAGCCTTGAGGAGCTCACGGACAGTGCCCAGGCCCAGAGTTCAAGAGAGGGAAAGGGAGCAAGAGAGAGTGAGAGAGCGAGAGCGAGAGCAAGAGAGATTTCACAACAGAGTAGGGTGGAACATGCCTGTAATCTCATCATTTAGGAGGTGAAGACAGGAGAATCATGATGTTAGGGCCAGCTAGGGCTATACAAGAAAACATTCTCTCAAAACAAAGAGAAAGCCCTATTTATAAGTACAACAAATGAACAAACACAGAAAATAGTTAACAAATTTAAGGCATGTCCAAAACGTGTAAGAAAGCTGTAAAACATGTCTAAAAACCTTTTTTTCTCCATTACAGTATCTCAGCACCATTGTTTTAGTCTGTATTCTCTGCTGCTTTAATAAATGTATATAGGTAGTTTATAAAGAAGAGGATTATTAGCTCACAGCCCTCAAAATCCAACATGTTCCAGTACGTGGTAGGCTTCTAGGGCAGAAAGTGGAAGAGAAGCAGGCACATGCCCAAGAGGGCCTAGAGGAGGTGCCCAGCTCACTTTGTAACAGCCTACTCTCAATAACTATTCCCAATGGAACTCTATGAATCCCTTTATGGGAATGAAACCCCTTCACCTTAATTTCTTCTCAGAAGTCCCACTACCTGTTAAATTTAACAATTAACTTTCCACATGAGTACCAGGATTTGAACTCAGCCTCATGCACTCTCAACTTGCTTCCCCTATGGCTGGTGGTCTACCACTTAAATCCTTCCTCCAACCTGGCTTTTTGCTGACTGTTTTAGAGACTGACTCTCACAGACTTGTCTGCCTGGGCTGGCCTCAAAACATGATCTTCTAGGTCTCAGCCTCCTGTGTGCCATGAGCAACCGACTCCAAGATGAGTTTTCTTTCTTTCTTTCTTTTTTTTTTGGTCGGTCGTGGGGCTTGAACTCTGGGCCTGGGCACTGTCCCTTACCTCTTCAGCTCAAGGCAAGCTCTCTTTTGGTTTTCCAGTGTTTTATTGGAGATAAGAGTCTCACAGACTTTCCTGCCCGGGCTGGTTTTGAACCACAATCTCAGATCTCAGGCTCCTGAGTAGCTAGGATTACAGGCGTGAGCCACCGGTACCCGGCTCAACATGAGTTTTCATGGAGATAAAGTACATCCAGCCCATGATATTAGTCCCTGACTTAATATGAATTAAAATAAATAAATAAAAATAAAATAAAATTATCAAGATGATTTTTACAACACATCTAAGGAAATACACAATAGCTAGGATATTACTAAAAAAGATAAGCCATAAAGAGGGAATGGCCCTACCAGATATTAAAACATAAGAGAAAGCCGTTACAACTAGCATTGTAACAACCAATGGGAAAAACAGAAAATGCAGAAATTACTCCTGGGTAAATGGCTCACATTTATAATCCTAGCAACTAAGAAGTAAAGATCACTTTGAGAAAGAACCAACTCAGAATACAAGACTTAGTAGAGAAGTTTTTATAAGAAGCGAAGGGTTTACATGATTTTAGACTATCCCCACCCACTGCTTACTACATAAAAGGGCAAACTAGATGAAATTCTTTGCATTATTTTTGCAAACCCTCCACAAACTTGCAAGGATTTTTCAAATAAAAAGTTCCTCCACAGTATGGAAGACATAACATCACATATGGATGATCAGAAGCAGGCTAACCTGAACTAATCAAAAGAAAGAGGCCAAAATAAAAAATACAAAACAAGAAAGACAGACAGACAGACAGGAAGGAAGGAAGGAAGGAAGGAAGGAAGGAAGGAAGGAAGGAAGGAAGGAAGGAAGGAAGGAAGGAAGGAAGGAAGGAAGGAAGGAAGGAAGGAAGGAAGGAAGGAAGGAAGGAAGGAAGGAAGGAAGGAAGGAAGGAAGGAAGGAGGAAGGAAAAGAAAAAGGTAGGGTGGAGGGGCTCTATTCTCAAAAAATAAAAGAAGAAAAAGAAAAAGGGTAGAGGGGCTCTATTCTCAAAGAAAAAGCCTAAGAAATGATTTATTATCCAAGAATTGTAGAGGCAGAGATGGTAACAGATTTTAAGTACCAATATTACATTTTCTGAGCTTAGTATCTATATTGTGACTGATAAGAGAATGTTGTTATTTTTACAAAACCCACCAAAGCATTTAGGGATAAAAGTAATGCATGCAACAACAAATAATTCAGAAGAGTATACAATGTAGAAAGAGAACAATAAAGCCAACAGGGCAAATTGTTAGTGACTGATGAAACTAAGTAAAAGATTTGTAGAAATTCTTTGCATTATTTTTGCAAACCCTCCATAAGCTTGCAAGGCGTTTCAAATAAAAAGTTAGAAAAAGAAAAAAAAGGCAAGCTTACATTTCTTAGGGCTTCATAAACAGCTCTGAACGCTGGCTGCTTCTCATCATGGTAGACGCCCCTGTTCCCATGAAGAATGGAGATTCCTCCTTCCTCGGCTTCCAGACAATTGCTCCCATATATACAGTGATCCGGTCGATAATTCCAGTGACACGGAAAAACAAAAAGGCTTTCTACATGAAGAAAAATCAAACAATGAAGCACCTATTCCTTATTCTAGAAAACTTAACATTTTGTAAAATTGTAATGTATAAATATAGCTTTGACAGAATAAGACTTAATTAAGACAGCAGAAAATATTCTCTGGCTTTACATTTTTTCTAACTAAATCATTATTTGAGGGAAGACTTACTCTGTCTCAAATGTAAATAGTGACAATCATCAGTATAAGCCAAGTCAAATGAATGAGTCTTCCTTTCTGACTAATTATTGTTTATGATTGTTTCTACAAATGCCAAGGACAAAAGGAATTTACATGATTACCTGGATTATGAAAAAACATGATATTCAATAGGTCTTGATCACCCCAGGTGATGTTTAGCTTGTATTTTTTAAGCAGTGGCATAAGTATGTCTCCCCATTGGAGCCGTACAGTTGTCATATCATTCTGTTGATAAAAACATCCAAGAGTCTCAGAATTTCAAGTTCACATTCCTCCCTTAACAAATCTCACAGAAGCACAAGAAGAAATGTAAACTCCTTTTGTTATTCAGAATACTAAAAGTGAAAAGCATAATACATAACAAAAGAGCCAGGCACTAGTGCCTCACACAAACAATCCTAGCTACTCAGGAGGCTGAGATTTGATGATTATGGTTAAAAGCAAGCCCAGGCAGAAAGTCTGTGAGTCTCTTGTCTCCAGTTAACCACCAGAAAACCTGAGTGGAGCTGTGGATCAAAGTGGTAAAGCAAAACATCTCAAGGACAGAGTTCAAGCCCCCTGACTGACCAAAATAAAAAAAGGATAACAAAGAATCTGAAGCTACATTTAATAGCGAAAAAGCTACGAGGCAACAAAGAAAGGGAAAGTAGCAATTGGTGCTACATCTTCATTTTAAGATGTATGTTGAGAACATGAGACAATCTTAGTACAGTGTACTACTATAATTTTCTATTGTCTCATTATTATTGTTAATCTTCTCCTGGTCCCAATTACAAACTGAACTCAGCTCTGCCTGTAGTTTGGTATGCCCCAAACTTCCAGGTATCCACTTAAGGGTCTTGGTTATCAATCCTTTTCTTATTCCTCATAAAATCAGTAATGCACAAAAGAAAGTTTAGAGATTACTTCAACTCCTACATCTCTATCAGTAGCTAACTTAAAACATGCCACAGGGATGGGAAGGTGGCTCAGTGGTACAGTGCATGCATGAGGCCTTGGGTTCCATTCCTCAGCACCACATAAGCAGAAAAAGCCAGAGTGGTGTTGTGGCTCAAGTGGTAGAGCTAGCATTGAGCTGAAGAGCTGAGGGACAGTTCCCAGGCCTAGTGTTCAAGCCCCAGGACTGGCAAAAATAAATAAATAAAAAGGAAAAACCACAAACAAAAGGATAAGAGGAGAGGCAAAAACTACTGAGGTATTTAAGAATGGCATATAGTTAAAAAAGCTAAGTAAAAAAGTAGAATAGACTATACAGACAGTTATATAGCTATTTTTTTAACTTTTAAAATCCAAATGGTGTTAAATTATCTCTATGGTTTTATGCAACACTAAACTTCTCATAATTCTACAAATTTCCATGCAGTTATTGAGAAATATTATTTCTTAGTAGATAATCTTATAGCACCATCTTCTGGTATAATATTACCAAGCATAGTCTAATAATCAGAAAATAAGAAAATCATGTTAGGCTGGTTTTTACTTGGTCAAACTTTTATGACCTATGCGATGTTAAAATTTAGAATGCAACAACAAACTAGAGAATTGTTAAGCAAGAATAGCTATTACTTAACACTCATAACACAATCAATTCTGGAAGAAAAAACTGAATTAAAACCAAGATTTGCAAAGGTTCAAAGAATGAGTTTATTAAAACAAGGTTCACCTAGTCATTAGGATGCAAGGGCCGCTGGAATGCTGATACTCAGCGATGGTGGCTATGTGTGGCTACCCCTCAATCATTTAGCCCTTCTAAATGGTGAGGATTTAAGCAGGTATGTAGGGGAATTTTAATTACTATTGTAATTATGTAAATTCTGATCCACCACACAAAAAATATAACAAATACAGACTCCTAGGACATAGTATCCCTTAATGTCTAATATACTTTTAATAGACATTCGGAAATGCACACTGAAGAGAAAGCCAACAGTGGGTGTTTGCCCAGGAGTCACATTTGTTTTTATCTACTGTTTACAATCTGTCTGTTAAGTTTCCAGATCTGTGCTAAATACTTTAGATGGATGACTTCCAAATTAATTCGGGTAAATCAGCTTTCTATTCTTCTGTTGTGAAAGTTGACAATGAGAGCTAACTAGATGGTCAGCAGTTAAGCATTTTGCAGGAGGCAAAGCTACACATAAACCAGTCTGACCACCACCCCAATCAATGCCTTCCAACTGACCACATCCAGGTAATCCCATGGTAGATAGTAAAGCATAGAGACAAATTCAGAATGCAATCAGTGAATTTACTGTCACTTCCACTGACCCTGCAGTTTGAAAGATTAGAAACAAGATCATTTTAAGTTAACTTCCAACACAGCATTATAAGAGCCAACATCGATATGTGCAAGCCCGTCTTAACTCACATAGTCCTCACTGAATCACCAAAACTTGAAAACATTACTATTGTTATCATTCCACTTTACGGATGTACAAAATTAAGCCTGCTTATAGCCCAAGCCTAATCAAGTTCACTGAACTACCAAAAAGGTAAGGCAGGTACGGTTGGAAGCAAACCAACAGGCTGGAAAATCTACAGTCTGATCCATGGGTCTGCTGTCCTAAGACAGTGCATAATTTAGACTCAACTATTCTGTGTATGTGTGACTACTTCTTGCATTAATACCCCAGAGGGGTGAGGTTCACTACTTGTACAGATTTCACTTCCTGGCTGTGATGCCATTTGGTTTGAGTTATGCTAATGAGTTGCAAAGAGAATACTATAAACACGCTTTTCTTCACATAAAATTCTGAATAATTTAGCCCAAACTTTAACAGAACACCAAATTGAAAAGCAATTTCAAGAAAAGAAACAATAACCAACTACTTTTACCTAGCAACTCACCTTGAAATACTTCCTTCTCATTCGAGTCATGTTCATCAACATGACCCCAGAGTTCACTCCAGTTTTCCCATAGTATGGGTGTCTAGCAAAGCGATTGTACCATCCTATTCGAGGCTCCTCATGTTCTGGTGCCATTGCAGCAATTTGTGTGGAATTAAATTTCTTCAGTAAAGACCAAATATCATCAACAGGTCGTAAAAAGAGGATATCAGTGTCAACATACAATAGGGAGTCAACTTCTTTCAGGATTAACTATGAGGAGAGAAGATAATTCAAACATTACTCCTAGTTTAAAAAAAAACAAAACACACTTTACTCACAAACAAGACCAGCAATACTAACAGTTAGGAGAATCAGAGCATTATCTTCAAAGATCAGGAAGGAAGCAGTTTACATAATGGATAATAACGTTTAAGAGTGGATTCGGGGGGCTGGGAAGTTGGCTCAGTGGTAGAGAGCTTGCCTTGCATGCATGAGGCCCTGGGTTCAATTGCTCAGCACCACATAGGCAGAAAAAAGCCAGAAGTGACGTTGTGGCTCAAGTAGTAGAGTGCTAGCATTGAGCTGAAGAGCTGAGGGACAGCGCCCAGGCCCAGAGTTCAGGCCCCAAAACCAGGGAGGGGGAGAGAAGAGGTGGATTCCTATCTTGAACACTAATTTCCTGAGATAACTGAAGAGTTAAGCCAACACTAAGGAAGACTTTCTGAACTTGTTCCCTCAGCCTATAATACTGGCACTTTTCCAGCACCAACTAGTAAGTAGAAGAGCTAAACTGGAACCCAAACCACAGGTTGTAAACTTATCAAGAGAAATCCACATTTGGCAACAGTAGAGTGACTTGTCATAGGTGAATCTGGCCACATAGCACTTTTTAAATCTTTAAATTTTTAGCATTTAACATTTAATATGTGGATAATTTTTTTTTTTGGTCCGGTCGTGGGGCCTGAACTCTGGGCCTGGGCGCTGTCCCTCAGCTCTTCAGCTCCGGGTGAGCACTCTACCACTTGAGCCACAGCGCCACTTCCGGCTTTTTTCTTTTTGCTTATGTGGTGCTGAGGAATCAAACCCAGGGCCTCGAGCATGCAAGGCAAGCGCTCTACCACTGAGCCACCTTCCCAGCCCGTGGATAATTTTTTTTATTCTGCCTTATCCATAAACTCCAGAATCAGACTCCTGTGAATTTACATTTGATTAGGCTCACCTAAACTTTTTTTTTTTTTTTTTAGTGCTTTGTCCAGGGCTTGAACTCAGGGTCTGAATACTATCCTTGAGTTTTTGTGCTTTTATCATTTGAATCACTTCTTGCTTTTTGGTGGTTAACTGGAGATAAGACTCTCATGGACTAGCAGGACACCAGAAGCTCATACCTGTAATCCTAGTTACTCAGGAGGATGATATCTGAGGATTGAGATTTGAAGCCAGAAAAGTCCCTGTGAGATTCTTATTACCAATTAACCACTCAAAAACCAGAGTGGCACTGTAACTCAAGTGATAGAGCTGGCTTTGAGCACAAATAGGCTCAAGGACAGCACCCAGACCCTGAGTTCAAGGCCCACAACCAATTTTAAAAAAAAAGAAGAGTGTCAAGGGCTTTTCTGTCCTCACTGACTTCAAACCCTGATCCTCAGATCTTAGCCTCCTGAGAAGCTAGGAATGTAAGTGTGAGCCACTGGTTCCTTGCTTATACCTAAACTTTTCTAGTTAAGAATAAAATGAGAACAAAAGCTTCATTCTTGATCTGCTAATTTTTCTAATCTTTATTATTGCTTTCTACAGCAGAAAGAAGACTTAAGAAAGATACTAGGACAGGGCTGGGAAGGTGGCTCAGTGGTAGACCGCTTGCCTTGCATGCCTGAGGCCCTGGGTTCAATTCCTCAGCACCACATAAGCAAAAAGTAAAAAATCGGAAGTGGCGCTGTGGCTCAAGTGGTAGAGTGCTAGCCTTGAGCTGAAGAGCTGAGGGACAGCGCCCAGGCCCAGAGTTCAAGCTCCACGACCGGACCCAAAAAAAAAAAGAAAGATACTAGGACAAATTTTTTTTTGTCAGTTGTGGAGCCTGAACTATAGACCTGGGTACTGTCCCTGAGCTCTTCAGCTCAAGGCTAGCGCTCTACCACTTGAGCCACAGTGCCACTTCTGGCTTTTTCTGCTTATGTGGTGCTGAGGAATGGAACCCAGGGCC